TTTAGATTTCTTTTTTTTTTTTGACCAGCGATTGGCCCGTGAGCAACAAAAGCCTCAGTTCTGCCTGATGTCACGCCTCCTATTCTGCGACCTCACACTCAACAAAAGGTCACGTACTGATGGGGGAGATGGGGGTGAGGGGGGGGCGGGGGGCTGGGGTCCTTATCAATTTAACCTCTATTCACTGAGCCACGGATGGATTAGCAGAGACCCGGGCTGCCAGACAGGCAGGTGCGGAGACTCCACGGTCCACAGGACGATAAACGTGTTCTTTTACTGCCATCTAGTGGTGAACTTTGAAACAGACTTGGGTACGGTTCTTCCAGCGGTTCCTCTGTGAGTGGAGTGTGTTGGATTTTAGTTGTTTTTGTTTTTTCATATTCAGACGAAGGTCCAGAGTTTTTAATCATTTTTTATAATAATTTTTACTTTTTAAATTTGTGGTTGACGCGGATACTGAACGGTTGGTGTTAATACCAACCATTGTATCCAGAAGGAGCCAAGCATTTTTATTATTTACAGACACATTCGTGAAAATTATATCTCCTCTGTCTCAGAGACGAACTCCCACAGACGGTCTCTGACCTCTGACCTCTGTCGGCTCAGTTCCTCACCCTCAGTCCAGCTCTTGTTCCAGGCCGTTGTCTTGAAGACCTGCGGGGTTTTTTTTACCTGCTGACTGTTTGTCTTCGGTCTGTGTCGAAGTGGCCTCCGAAGCTGCAGCTCCACTCCTCCATTTAGAGACACGAACACACACAGAGAACATCCACAGAGGGACGGCCGCCGGCCAGTCAAGCCGCGCTTCCCTCACTCATGCTCCGAACTCACACACGGAGTACAGGACGCAGCGCATTAAAGTTTGATCAGCTGAAAGTCAAATGATGTCGGAGAACCGTTCCTGCATTTAGTCACAGATGAAGAGAGGCTGCGGGTGGAGGAGGACAGAGAAGGAGGACAGAGAAGGAGGACAGAGAAGGAGGACCTGACGGAGGGAGTCGGCTTCACTCGGCCTGGCTCCAGGGTCACGTGCGTGACTTACTGGTCGCTGTCCAGGGTCAGTGCAGACGGTTTAAGGTCCACCAGATCAGCAGCTTCACGGACAAACATCTGACATTCACACACGTATTAACTAATGGACCCTGGAGGCGAAAAATGCACTTTAGAGCCGAGAGATCGGATCAGTGTGGTGGAAAATCAAAGAGCGAAGAGAACATCAACAAATACACGCACTCTCCGGCCACTTCATTAGGTACACACTGTGGACTATGATACAAGACATGCGGCCCGGGGGGGCCGGGGAGACGGGGGCTCAGAGGGACTTGAACTCTGTCTGTGATCACTTCCTGTCGTGATGACTCGGTCTTTAATCTGAGGAGGGACAGATGTTTCCGAGAATGTCCACGATCTTCTTGACTCTCTGTCACCGTGACGTCTATATCAGGCAGAGGTGCGACCCCTGGAACTAACAGGTGGTATTGAACAGATGAGTGAGCCATCGGCGTAGCAGGTGAGGAACCCACTTCCACAGAAGGAGCTCGGTGACGTTCTCCACTCACTCACTCACTCATAAAGTCCGCTTCTCTCTGAGAGGTTTTACTTGTCCAGGCTGTTCCTGGACAGAGAGTCTAACCATGTGGAACAAACTGTGGAGCCCGGAACGAACCTCCAACCTCCGCCCAGTCCATGAGAACATCTGTTTGACATGTCCACGAAGATGTAACGTTCTACTTAATAAGTGAGCTCCAGAGGTGAGGCCTCCTCAGTCCGACCACGCTTCTCCATTTTTAATACCTTCCTGTACATGAGTCTGGTGAAGAGCATCTCTGAAGGGTTCGCGCTAAAAACAGCCTCCGTCCCGAGGTGGCCCCCGCACCACATCAATTATTCAGGTGTGTACTGGCCCCGTCCTGCATGTTCACTGCTTCCTAACCAGCTTCAGAGCAGCAGCAGCAGCAGCAGCAGCAGCAGCATCAGCAGCATCATTCTGTTGTTGCTCATTAACACCAGTAAATAATCAGAGTTGATTTGATTTTCTTGCAGTTTTTCCACCACTGGACAAACAGATCTGAAAGGTTAGTGTAGAGGTCATCCTGCTCTGACCTCTCAGCTGGACTCTGACCCTGTCCCAAATCTTTGACTCTTTGATTAGTGGGCAGTGACCACATGACCTCATGGTTGACGTGACCTTCACAGTCACCCTGAGGAGTGTAGATAACGCAGTGCATCTGTCATCATGGCTCTCCAACCTTTTTGAAATAGAGCTACAACTGCTGCACCTCCAGGTTCTGGGACAACCAGTAGTAGGCGCTCTTCTTACCATTGTCATTACACCCGTTTGAACAGTATTTCAAGTGTCACTGATTCAAAAAGAACAGTAACTGTACCATTTTTGACCCTGTTTTTGGGTAGTTTTATTTCACAACATACCCCAGGGGCACCATAGGTAGACCATGGGGGTACCAGGTGCCCCCAGCCACCTTGTTTTACCTGTCAACCACCCCAAGAGGAGCAGTGCTCCATGAAAAACAGACGATTCTTTGGGGATTCGGTGACTCGGTTAAACCGAATTGAAATCAGATTCCTCCATCTACCGCTAGAGGGAACCCAAGTTCCACCAGTGTGTCTGTGTGTGCGCCATAGTTTAAGATGCACCGATGTAGCAGAAACACCCTTCCCTCCCTCCCGACCACCCAGTCCCCACACTCCCCCCACCCCAGCCGCCTCAGTCAGTTTCCTCAGTTTGGTTAAAGTAAAATGGGATGTGACCCAGAGACCATGTGGGCTGTGACCCAACACAGACAGCGTGTCTTTGTCTGTCAGATAAGAACACGTTCAAGAGGAGGAACAAACGACGGTTCCAGCTCCAGTCGAACTCCCAGTCAGTCCAGCAGGGGGTGTTCATTTGTGTTTTGTTTCCGGTGGTCGTGCACTTTTATATCAGTCAGTTTATACTGTTGTCTTCTCAAAACTGAAGTTTTCTTTCAAAATTGGGTGAGGATGCCGACGAATTTTTTTTTTGCACAGACACACACACAGTGTGTGTGTGTGTGCTGAGACAGTGGTAGGGCAGGTTAAACCCGTTAGTGTGTTTAGCTGGAAACAGACGAAGGCTCCTGAACTGTAAACAGTGACGGAGAGAACGGCCCAGTGTGAACAATCCACACCAAAACCAAACTGGATCAAATTTGTGCAAAGTTGCCGTCATCCACTCCCTCTGCTGGACAAGTCTCTACGACTGACGTACAGTGGACAAAAAAAAAAAACCACAAACAGAAAGTCCAATGAACTCCGTAGTCAGGTGAAGCTGACTGAGAGACGAGTGATTTTCCACCTTCTTTTTCCACAAACAACAGCCTCAGAATCACAACATCACTGGCGGAGCCTGGGGCTCCGTCAGCCTCAGGCTGCACCACGACCAACATATAGTCAGTTGTAAATGCAGACACAAAAGAGAAGACATTTTGCGAAGGTGGAGATCCGTCATCACCACTTGATTATTGGCAGAGCTCTGCATCACTACAGTGCATAACTATGAGACGTTTGACACAAAGTAAACAAAGTCACGTCATCTTTATGTTGCTGCTTAATTCAACTCACCCTCCCCCCACCCCCGCCCGGGACATTTTTCGAATTTTTCGTCATACCATGAGGGTTTTTAGTTGAGTTGGTTGCGATCCTATTTAGTAGAAAAGTGTCTTTGTAGTTAAAAGACAAGCTAGAAACTAAAATTTGCCGCAAGTAATACATGGGAAACATTGAAAAAATGTTCACTGAAAAAATGCGGAAAACACCAGATTTAGCTCGACAGCAGTTTAACCTTAAACTAAAACAAAATGCTAAATTATTAGCCTCAAAGATAATGAAAACACCAACTATTAGCTGTGTTTAAAAGAATATATGAAACATTAAAATGTAGCAGGAGTTACCACACCTAATCTATGTTAGGAAAAAGTAATAGGTTTACCATCCGCAGCTCAAGTAAGACAAAATATAAGCACAAATGTATCATGTCACAGCTGGTAGCTACCAAATGGCTTAGAGTTAGCAAAAAAAAAAAAAAAAAGTTCTTCTGTCATGAAATTGAAAAAGTTGCAAAGGTGAGTACACGACAAGTTGTTTTATGAATGGTGTGTGTGCAGTGGCGTGTGTGTGTGTGTGTGTGTGTAACAGATATGACCAGCAGTAATTAAACTGATGAATGAAGTTGTTCCACAGCAGCCTCTCTAGGGGACGTTCTTCTCTGAGAGTTGATACAAGATCAAGTAAAGAGTCTGGTGGAGCTGAAGATGAAATACAGAGCCCTGTGAAAATCCTCGGCATGATTTAACCTGCAGCGCGGCGTTGAGAGTGAACACCCAGTCACAGCAGAGGGAACCCGGTAGTTAATCTCTAGACCACGGACAGATTTAATGGAGCGGTGTCAGGTGACCGGAGCTGGAAAAACCATTGGAGTGAACTTAATGCCATCAGAACCAGCAGAGTCCGGCTCTGCTGAGCAGCAATTTACAGTAGACAGGGACACACACACACACACACACACAAATACCCAAAACCTTTGTCCGTAAGACCTGTTTTTTTACCGAGAGTTTTCTGGAGAGAAAATGCTGTAGGTGATAAAATGAAGACAAATAAAAATATATACAATAATAAAATAACATTTTCTCCACAAAAGTCATGGGGGTTGAGTTTTGTATTGAAACCTAACTGTGGACTTCACTGAAGACATCAAGACATGAATTTCAACGGTTCCTATAAATTCAGGTGCATTTTTGTACAAAGACAAAGGTAATTCCTTCCGTTCATCAAAGTAATAAACAAGGTGAGTTTTTGAGACGTAATGTACATTATCTTTTTATGGTTGGTTTAATGATGAGTGAGTTAATTTAGGTTAGTTTATATAATGGTTAAAGTTGTTAAAACATACTAGAGTCACTGTTCTATGTGATTTGGTAAACGTTGATAAAAAGGTGTACTGGCCCTTTAAGACCGTACGCATGCGCTAAATATCCTGTTGTTTTACGGCGGGCCGCTAGTGTCTTAGAGCTACTGAAACGAACGGTTTTCTTAATTTTCCTTTTTTAAAATGGGAAATAAAATAACAACAAATGTACTAACCAGCTATCGACATTTGTCGCGAGTGGAATTATAACTTTGATACTGAGTAATTCTTTACGGAGATATTTGCTTAATTACAACAACGTTTCTGAAGTGGTTCTTTGTTGTACCTTGTAGCTGGGCTAATTGTTATTTTACAATGTCCTTGTTTTGTCGATATATATGATATATGTACATATGTAGCCTGTGGACACTTGAGAAATCCGCGTCCCTGTAGTTTATTTGCCAGCCCTGTATGTGGCGCTGTGTTAACCACGCTCTAACTTAGACAGATTTGAACCGGAAGTTCAGAAAACCGAACAAGAAGCCACATTACATGAGCAAGTAACGCATGCGATCTGTAAACAAACTCGAAAGGGAAACACGAAGACACGGCGGTGGCTAGCTGTAGCACACCAAGTAACTGAATTAGCTGCTCCAACACGGTCAGAAGGAGCACGGTTTCTGCCATTGTTGTCGTTGTGTATTGCGGTTACAGTGGGCGGGGCTAAGTGTACAGTCTCACTCTGGTGACGTGAATGTTGGACGTTTCAAACTTCTCTACTCTTGGAGCTTTATCCAGTGAGGACGCAGCTCTCCGCCCCACAGTGTGAGTGACAATAAAAAACAAAATGTTGAATCTTGATTCGAATGTATACATAAAACGATACAGTACATGTAGTTTCAGTCACAGGTGAGCAGTGATACAGAGTTGAAGGCCTCAAGTGCACGTGTGCGCGCGCGTTTGCCTGCTGTAGCTAAAAGCGACCTGCTGCACACAGGGAGTGCATTAATGCTCGTACTCCCCCGGCCCATCCCTCTGACTCTCTCTTTTTTTGACCGTAACTTTACACCGTGGCTTCCCTTCCTCCCCTCCACCTCCACCTTCTTCTCCCCTGACTCACCCCCGCTGCTTTATCCCTTTTTTATGGGGCACACCTGATACACCGCAACTGGATAATGTCTGAGAAGAGGTTTAATTCAGTTGCTCATCGATAAACATGTCGGCCATGTTTTGACCTCAGAGCGGAGTGAAAGTAAATGAAGAACGAAAGAAAGAAGCCACAATATGACGCAGATTAAACCCCAGAAATATCTAAAGTTTAGCTGAGCGCAGCACGGAATAAACTGAAACAGAACAGAACCAGAAATGAGTCTCGAAGTAGCCAAAAGCTAGGAGATTAGCCACAAGCTAGCCAATAGCCAACAGCTAACATTAGCCAAAACGATCAGACAAAAGAGTAGCTAAATCTTAGCCAAGAATATAACTAGTTATTAGCTTAAAAGTTCACTAACAGGAAATTTGTTGATCGTTAAAATGTGCATGCTACTTATTGGTACATTTCCTGATTTCTTTTGTTTTGTCTTTGTCTTTTAGATTTTGTTAAATTCTTCTCATGATTTTGGTTAGCTGCTCTCTACATTTTCAACATGTTTGGCTAATGGTTTGCTCAAGTTAAGTCTGTGAATTTGGATTTTAATGTTTTTAACTTCTTTTTTTTTCTTAACCAAACATTTTCACCATTCACTCACTCACAAAAACCCACTGGTTATATGGTGTTGTGTGCTAACTATAAAATCTCCTTCACAGGGAACACTTTAAAGCTCAGGGTGAGCACAGGTGACCAGCTGGACCCTGCTGTTGTTACCGAGCACAGGTGACCAGCTGGACCCTGCTATTGTTACCTTTTTTTTTTTCCTCCGGTGTACACAAACCTCACTGGAAAACAACCAGAAAAAAGAGCGAGAACCAGCGTCTGTTTCATTTTATTGAACCGGCGTTTTATGTTAAACAAAGTGACTGAAAGTGAGTATTTTTAGCAGCAGGACCTGAGCTGAGCAGCAGTCTCTCCTCCTCCTGCTGGATTTCCACTCTCCACTCTGATCTCATGTGTTTCACATTAACAGAGAAGAATTTCAGTATTAAACATGTTTTTCTCATCCGACATGACAGTTTGATCTGCGCTGATGAATCGTCCGCTCTCGGTTTCAACTGGAGGAGAAGGAAGACTTTGTCCTCCTGACCAGAAGTCCAAGTGAAGTTGATGTGAGGCTACACTTCAGGTCAGGAACTGTCACGGTCAATATGATAAACACATTGGACTGAAAGAGTCCACTCCAAACACCGGCTCTGGGATCACAAATGGGTCACAGGAGGTTGTTGTGGGTTTAAAGGTAAAATTAAGAAGGTTCTTTAATTTATACCTTTTGTCATTACATTTTCAAAAACAATTTTCACCTTGTAAAAAACAGATTATTTAAAAAAACATAAATGTGTTTACACACAAATGTAAATGTGGTGAAAAACGGAAACATCTACAGGAAATATTAGGTCAGTACTAGACCAAATATTTTATGAAAAAGTACTTGATATAAAAATAAAATAGGAACCTTAGAGAGAAATAAAAAAACAAAACAAAACAAATTGCAGCGGGCCACGATGGACCTGGAGAACCTGCTTGGAGACCGAGAAGCAGTGTTCCTGCCAGAGAGTTCCTCAAATAATAATAATAGGAAGGCTGTTCTGTTCTGACTTCTCATGTGACTATCAGTAGATTTAATTTCTCTGCTTGACATTTGACAATTAATTATTTTGACAATTATTTATTTATTATTAATTGCTGCAATTGCGGTGCCTTGATTTTTTTGTGGTTTAGTTCACAGTCATAGCCATAAATGCAGTGGTGTTAATAATTATTTTTTTTGGTGTTTCAGTTTCGGCCAAGAAATTTTAATTTCTGTGTATCAGTAATCGTCACAGTTTTTTGTTTACCTTTTTTCTGCAGCTGCAGTTTGATCAAGGTGTTCAATAGAAAACAGTTTCCTTTTCTCTGCCTCAGGTTCTTCCTTCTGCCGCTGAGCCCTGCGGTCACATGACTAGGCAGTTCAACCAACAACGTGTCTTTATTTCTTTGGTAAGTTTTACAGCCTCACTTTCTGTTCGTGTTTCAAATCTGGATTATGTCATTATTAAAATAATCTCGTCTTTTTTTGCTCCGACCCTGAACCAGAGGAACATTTCTGCGCCTCCTCCTCCTTCTCCTCATTCAGCTGAGAGAATCTGCCCCAGTTTTCAGGCTTCTGCTGCTTTAAAGGTTTGACCTCTGACCTACCTCAAGGCTTGTGAGTGTAAAGACAATTTGCCCACAGGGAGTAATAATCCATCAAATGATGATAATAATCTCCACGGAGCTGACATTAGTGAAGTGCGAACTTCATGTAACGACAGGTTCCACAGTTAATGAGCCTCGACCTCCACGTCAATCACACTCCGTTGTCTTCTCTTCTCTTTGGAGGTTTTTGTGTTCTCAGGCTGACAAAAAACTTTGAGAAATCATTATGGTGACAGGAACTCTTCCCAGAGCGAACGCTTGGTTTTTCTTTTTGAATGTTTCTCCTTCTGTGGTGACCGCAGCTGGTGAAGGAGAGAAAATGACAAATTTAATCTCGGCACAAAATGTCTGAAACAAATGTCTCAGGCAAAAATATTTTGTCATTAAGTGTCACTTGAATATATGATTGAAAATTTCACTGAAATATAAAAACAACTTTTCTGTGAAAAATGGGGATTTAAATAATTACTTCATATTAAATGTTAAAAATAAATAGTAAAATAATAAACATGAGAGTTAATATAATGATAACTTTATCTGCAGTATTATATTAATAATAAAATATAAACTTAATACTAATTTTATTATTTCTTTTATTGTCATTATGTTTATTTTAAATCGCATAAATTAATTACAATAATCACTAGAGGGGAAAATGTAGAAACATGACGTTCATCATTTGTTCATTAACATAATTCAAGCTTCAGTCAAATGATTGGATCATTACAGGTGTCGTATATTCAGTCCAAATATACTGTACGTGTTACGTGTAGTTTCATTCAGTTTTATTCGTTAACTCATTCTGTTAATGATGTGTAAACAGGTGAGAGTGATGAAGACCACGATGAAGATGAGTCGGCGTACTCCAGTAAACCATCGGTGTTGTGTGATGTGTCTGTGCACGATGAGGGACAATCATCTCCTCTGGTTTCATCACGTCTGTCCTCGGGCCACGGAGAATCAACGTCTCTTCACCGCCTCGGCTGACGGTGGATCCAACAGCCTGGATGTGTGGGGGTGTCGGCAGGAACGGGTCGACACCTGTCCAACACCTGACACTTCTCCTTTCAAATCAGATGATCAAAACAATAATGAGGTTACCCTAACCTTTACTAACAGGAAACTCTCCCAGTTCATGTCAGCTTTTCCTCTGTGTGTGTGTGTGTGTGTGTGTGTGTGTGTAGTGCAGCAGCTATTGTAGGATAACAAAAAAATATTTTGAAAAGAAACCCAGAAATCCCTGAAGATCTGAGAGCGTAGTTAAAAAAAAAAGGATGAGCTTTTACGTGTAAAGAAACCCAGAAATCCCTGAAGATCGGAGAGCGTATTTAAAAAAAAATGGGTTAAGCGTTTACGTGGACCTGAACAGAGACAGTGAGAGTGGGCTGTAGGTGGATGTTTGGACACGGACCCATGTTCATCCTCCACCTGTGATTGGACGTCTGACCTCAGCGAGCTGGAGCCACTGATCCTCAGCGTATACATGGTATGTGTTCTCGCACTCTTCCATTACTGATGTCTGGACGAGGACATAAAATAATCCATTATTAGAAGGAACCTGCCGGACCAGGTGAACACGACATGTAACGCCCTCTCAGCCTTCGTCACTGTTGTCTTTGGCGGACCCTTCTGGATATATATGAGAACAATGAAGTCATCAGGAAGTTTGGACCAGGCGTAGGAGTGACCTCAGATCTTTGGCTGTGGGCTGGACCATACCTTCCTCTCTGGGTTGGACCATACCTTCCTCTGTGGGCTGTAGATGTAGATGTTGATTACTATCCTTCTGTTAACGTCTCATCTGTCATCAACAGAGGGCGCTGCTGTGAAGACAGTGGAATCACAGTAAAATATGAATTCAATTTTCTTGACATTAGATCCACTGCCCTCTGCCTGTGTTTTCTCTTTCTCTCTCTGTGGTGAATTCTCAGGTGGTGAGGGCCGCCCTGGGATATGGCAGTAGACCCACTAGGTGGCAGTGTAACTTTGCAGATGAAGATGATTGACGCCAGTAAAGCTTCTTCTCAGGGTTTCTGTCAACATTCACTTGTCTTATCAGTCTCCACACTCCTACAGCTCTTCTGTTCCCCTGTCAGCCGAGCGTGGAGGAAATGTGTCATCACTTGAACATCACAGAGCTGCTGCTGCTGCTGCTGGAAAGGCTTCCCTGACGTTGGCCCACAGCTCAGCAGCCACACGCCACATGCTGCTCTCTCTTCACCGCTGTTGTTTTTCTAAAGCGCTGGATTGAGTGTCGGCTCCTCTGTTTACTCTGTTGACTCACCTCAACTTTAACCTTTCAGTCGACATTCAATATGGAAGGGAAGAAAAGAAAGCATCTGCAGAGAAAACAAGCATGCACTCACTTTGTGTGAACGGATCGGTTCCACGAGCCAAACGACAGTCATCAACACAAGAAAAATTACTTTAATCCCCAAATTATTGACCTGGACTAATCCTGGCTGATTTGGACAGAACCTTCTCACCAAGTTATTTCAGCAATAAGTTAATAAATGAAGCCGATTACCACAGTGAGAATTGAGATTTAGTCTAATGACTTTCTCCAGCCTCAACTTTTACTTTTTTTTACTTTCGTCTTTTTGTGAACACCGTGACTCAGTCCAGGTCTTTAGATGTTGGACAAGAATATGAACTTGTTGGAGGCTTATTTTGATCATTCTGCCTTTAACACTTATTTTTATTTTTATGTATTTATTTTGACCAATATTTACGATATTTTTGATTATTTTCAGTAATGTCTACATAAATTAAAAATATTTATTTTGACCAATATTTACGATATATTTGATTATTTTCAGTAATGTCTACTAAATTAAAAATATTTATTGTCTGTGTTCTGGACTCAGTCCTTATGATGGGAGCCTCAGATAATCCCGGGTTGTAATCTCTGTGTTCTGGACTCAGTCCTTATGATGAGAGCCTTAGATAATCCCGGGTTGTCCCGGACTATAATCTGCCCACACGTCACGGTGTCTCCTTTCTCCTGCAGGAACAACTGTCTGAAGCTGGAAGGCCTAGAGTGTGACGTCACAGTTTTCGCAATAACCGCGGACTCAGAAGAACAAGCGTCGGGTTCAGATCGAGTTCTGCAGCAGGTCAAGAGGTATTTTTTTTATTTAAAAAAAATATATTTACATATGTGTGTATATAGTAATATTTTTTTCTGCAGCAGATGTTATATATTTTTAATATAAGAATTAATTGATAATAGAAAGAGTGCCTGATGAAGTTCAAAAATATTTGATTGACAGACGCGATCTTGTGTTACATTTAATTTAATGTAACGACGTCGATAAATTAACGTAATTAATTGAAAATAAACTGCAGACCGATCTTTATAAACAACAACAACAAAGTGTGGATTTAAATTCATGTCTTTTTTTTTCATTTATTGTAAAGAGTATATGAAACTATAGCTGAGTTGGTTTTCACTTGTCGCCAAGTTAACATGCAGTCTCTTCCAAATGAACATGAACATATTTACATTATAATAATATGATAAGACGTTCCATCTCATTACGGCTCTAATAAGACACTGGAGATGTAAACAAACCTTGAAGTGTAGATAAAAAAAAACAATATTTATATTTAACCGTTTATGGCTCTGCTGGAGAAGAGGATTGGAGCAAGAACATGAAGTTTGGAATTTTTTTCTCATCGAGAAAAAAGGGGGAAATCCAAAGCAGGAGTTTGAAATCAGAATAAAAGACATTTCATGAAAACAGTCACAATTAAAAGAAAGAAAGATCAGAATATCGTCACGTTAATCCCAAAGTCCTGGCCTTTATCTTAGAAAAAAATGATACATTTATAAAAAAATGTAATTTTTTATTTGTGAGATTTAAATCAGAATATTTTGCCGTCACTTTTATGTATAAATAGGACAGTGTAATTTATACAGTCGGATTTGTGCCACAAACCTCGCAGTGTTGGCAGAATTATGTTAAAAACCAAAGTTGGTTTTTATCTAAATATAAATACTGTGGATTTTAGAGTTAAATTTTGGATCGGGAAAAAATATTGCATGTAGTCTAAAAAAAACAACAATTTCATTGTTTTATTAATGTTATAATAATAATAATTATTATTAGACCTTAAAGTTGTTGAATGTGTTTTTTCTTTTTTCTTTTACAACTGTGACTCTTTTTTCTGATTTCAACACTGACTCAGATTCCTCCATTCAAATGTTCAAAGTCGTGGGTTTAACGTCAGATTTCTGTCTTCGCGTTTGTGTTAAAATATTTGACAACTGTGACGTATGATATTAGCCATGTCCTCCTGTCCAGTCCTCTTCCTCAGAAAATCCCAGACTTAGAGAGAGAGAGAAAAAAAACGGAAGTGGAAAAAAACAAATGTCCCTCCGTCTCCGTTCATATTTGTCAACCTCTAAAATAACATCATTATAATGACAAGAGTTAAGACGTCTTAATATGAAACGTATTGAGTTTCAGGTTGTTGTTTTTCTTCCTTTTCTCACCTTTTTTTTCTTCTTTTTTTTCTTACAGTCTCCACCTCAGGTCTGTTCATCCCCGAGGATCAGAGTGAGTACAAACGGACAAAGGTGAGACTTTAACGGGCGCTGCTCTTGACAAAATCCCGGGAACTGAGCTCGGTTCGGTTCGGTTCGGTGGTAACAGTGGGTGTTCTGGTAGAAACGGAGGTGAAAACTGCTGAGACATGACTGTTGTAGTGGCTGCGTGTTCCCGAGTGCGTGGTTCAGACTCGTCCGTTCACCTGGAGGAGGGCTCGCTTATCCAAAAAAAAAAAAAAAAAAGAAAGTAAAGAAAAGAAAATGACTGGAGTTTATTCAAGTCACGTGATGCTTCTCTTTAAGAGCCGAGGTCCACCAGGTTAGAAGACATAGGGTTCAGTATGGTGTCATGGTGCAAAGAGTGGTGATGGTGCACCGAGTCTGCGCCGCTCGGTACCGGGATGGCGCTGGGCCCCGGCGGCGGAGCCAGGCCGTGCAGGCTCGGTAAACCGCTGTTAGAGCCGAGGAGCAGAGCCGGGCTCGGGGACGTGTGGTCCGGTGTCCCCGAGGGCGTTTTGTCGTCGTCCGAACTTCCCAACAGAGTCTTATTTCCGTTCATGGAGGACGTCAGGGGGTTGTGGCTGTTGTTGTTGTTGGAGTTCTCGTTGTTTTCTCTGTCAACACAAAACACAAACAAACTGAACAACAATAACACACACACACACACACACCGCTGCACCAACACAGATCTAGAAAAGGAAAGTGACGTGATTCTAATTAAATTAAAGGACCGGGTTGGGGGCCCACTGATGAACCGGAGCACAAATGTTTTGGTCCCAAAAAAAAAAAAAATTTATATTTTAGAAATACGTGTGTGTGTGTGTGTGTGTGACACTGGTCCACAGCGTCTGTGTTTCAGTGAGGGAGGGGGTCGAGGGGCAGTAGAAGGGTCACTGGGGCATTTTTAGTTTAATAGTAGTTTAATGTTGAAGTAATCTGTGCACAGATTAGATTACTTCGTGACACACACAGATTAATACCTCCAGCAGCTACTGTAAATACCCAATAACACTACAGCAGAGTAGTAGTAGTATCACTAACAATACTACACAGAATCATAATGTATGATGACTTAATGGCCCAGTAATAAACACAAGCTTATTCTAGAAAATGACGTCAGTGAAGGAAGACGGTGAAACTAAAGGCACGGTTTATTTGACGATATGTAAAGATACCGTGATAAAAAAATTTAAAAAAATATTACAATGACACAGAACACGTTTAAACACAAAGAAAAGAACAGACCTGTCATTGATGATGTTTCCCAGCACAATTATAGACTTATAGATTATTCATATAATTAGTTATATATAATCTATCATTTCTAGTTCGACACCGGCAGAGGTTTAAAGCCTTGACTGACGTTTATTTTACTTTTACAATAACAGAGTGGAATGAAACAGTCCAACACACTCTTCCGTTAATCATAATCATTTGCAGTCGTTAACGATAATTATCGACGACATCGGAAACAAGTGTCTGTTTAAAAATGTCCGCTCCTTCATTTACACTAGTCATTGTTTATGGGTTTTTTTTCCACTGTACAGTTGTTCATTAAATTAAATTTATTAGACATAGATTTGATTGTATTTATCAACGATTTTTTTTTCAAATATATCTCCACATTATTTCAGAGTTGTTGTGATTTCTCCGCTCGAGTGTAAAAGAAAAACGACTTTAATTATAGCAGTATATAAGTACATTAGAATCCCACCTGCTTTTAACACACACACACTCACACACACACACACTCACACACTCCGGTGATTTATAAATGGACACGAGGTGCAAACAATTAGTCAAGTCAGTGAAATAATTACAGGCCGTCGGTGTGAGCCGTGCACAGTTACAGTGATCTGACCCCACGGCCGTAAATCTGTCTGTTCAACCTGCAGCCTGTTAGTATTTACAGCCGCTCGGCTGAACTCGGGTCAGTCCTGGCACCGAGGAACCGACTCTGCTCTGTGTCTTTGAACTGATCACTGATCAGCTCCACTGCAGGAGGAATTGGAACGAAGTGGCGGTGGACGGTTCCCTGCAGTGAGACGACATGATTTACGGGCAAACTTCAGCCCGAATTAAATGGCCAGAGGGTGAAAGCAGACACCGCCGCTACCAGCAGCAGCAGCAACAGCAGCAGCAACAGCAGCAACAGCAACAGTCTTATACCTTTCTGCCTGCTCTTAAAAAAACAAAATAAAACCACAGTCTTATACCTTTCTGCCTGCTCTTGTAAAAAAATAATTAAAAAAAAACCGTACCAACTCCGGGTGAAGTCACAGCCTCGGCCGTAGAACCACACCTTGAACCACACTCGTTCTCTTCCCTCTGTTCAATTTTTTTTTTCCTTATTTCTCTTTACTCTGACGTGAAGTTTGTTTGAGTCCGAACCCACGTGACCACTGTGTAGATGCGGGTTTTTCCCTTTTTTTAATTTAATGTGAATTAAATTAAATTAAATCAATTCAGGCTGTGACATGACAACAAACCACAAACAAGGCGACTCTGTCAGAATTATCCAGTGGTTTTGCTTCAAATTTTCTCTCTAAAAAATAATATCTTGTCACGTCAAGTTTTTTTTGTGTGTTTGTGCATTTTATTCGCGGTGTACGATTCTCAGATTAACAACCGGGATTATTTAGAAAAGTCTGAGTAAAATCTGACACACACGTTCCTATATAAATAATAATATAGTTTTAATTTTTCTTTTTTTTTTTGCCTACCTCTCCTTAGCCTCCGCCGCTCGGTCCCGCTGTCGCCGGTTCTTGAACCAGTTGCTGACCTGAGTGGTGGTGAGTCCCGTGGCCTCGGCCAGCTCTCGTTTCTCCCTGGGAGAAGGGTAGGGGTTGTGGGTGTACCACTCCCTCAGGATGCTCCTGCTCTTCTCCTTGAAGCAGTAACTGGTCTCCTCTCCGTCCCAGATGGACCGGGGCAACGGGAACTTCCTGCGGACCCGGTACTTGCCCACGGCGCCCAGCGGGCGGCCCCGCAGCTTCTCCGCCTCGATGTAGTGCGCCTTCAGCCACAGCTGCTGCAGCTTCGGGTGGTTGTGCGGGGAGAACTGGTGGCTCTCCAGGATCTTGTAGAGTTCGCGGAAGTTCCCGCGGTGGAAGGCGACCACGGCCTTGGCTTTGAGGACGCTCTCGTTCTTGTGGAGGTGTTCGCACGCCGGCAGCGACCAGAGGAATCGGCCGAGCCGCTCGATGTTTCCTCCCTGCTGCAGCACCTCGCACACACACGCAACCTGTTCCTGCGTGAAGCCGAACGTCGGCAGCATGGACATGGCGACAGATGAGATCGTGCCTTAATCCCGGTTTATTCCCAGTCCATCGGTGACAGAGAGAACTTTTTCGGCTTTAGTTTTTTTTTTTTCCTCCTCTTTCTCTAAAGTCTAAAACTTTGACAACTTCCGGAGCCACAAAGTCATTCACAGCCTCCGTGTCCACACGGCGTCTTCACAGAGCTGCTTCTCCTTCCACCGTCCTCCTCCACCTTTCCTACACCCGTCCAACATAACCTACTCCTGCGGAGCGGACTCGTTGACTGGTTTTAATAATATTATTGTAAACTGGCAGCAGCAGCGATTAGCAGAGCTCTGATTGGTCGGTTATATGACCCGGGGAAGGCGAGGATAAGACAATAGCCTGAGTCAAATTATTTGCCATGGAGACGCTGTCACTCAGAGAAACCTAATCTGCGGTGAGGTGGCTCCCTGGCACCGTCACCACGATTGTTCCTTCAGCGGAGACCCCGCCCACCGGCACAAATATTCCTGACATTTCTTTCTGCTAAATTTTTTTTTTTTTACCTTTCGCCTCACGGTGACAGACGCCTTCCTCAGCCAAAGAGCTCAGCGCTGCTGCTGCTGCTGCAGCTGGGGGAAGGATGGCGCTAGAGTGCTAGGAGGGCCAGGAGTCGGAGAGAAGGAGCTCCACGTCCGTGACTCCGCTCTGCTGTCAGTACACTTTATACACACACACACACACACATTGAAACTCTTGGTTTATTGTTTCATTACAGATGGAAAAATCACTGACAACCGGCAGTCAATGAAAGGCCCACGTAAAAACACAGACACAGACACAGACACACTGCCTCCAAACATCGAGGACAATTATATATATATACATACATACATATATATATAATTAAATTATATATATATACATACATACATATGTATAATTAAATTGAATAATAATTGCTGACAGTTACTGATAGATAACAGATAATAGTTCAATAATGGTATTCTATTCTATATATATTCATCTGGTACCTGTGAACTGTGTAATGACATAAAAACTAATCAGTTACTGGTAAATTGAGGTTTTTTTTAAACGTTTAAAAAAAATTTAATTAGCTAAATTGTTGATCATGTCAATTATTTTTTAATGGAATTATGTTTCTGTTTCTGTCCATGCACAGATATGATGGACCTGAAGGAGCGAGTGTGTGTGTGGGTGGGTGAGAGAGATAGAGAGACATAGAGAGAGACAGAGAGAGAGAGAGCACGTGCGGCTGTTCTCTGGGCAGAGAGAGAGACAGAGAGAGAGACAGAGAGAGCGAGAGCACGTGCGGATGTTCTCCGGGCAGAGCGCGGAGCCACAGACAGGGACAGGACGTCGGTGAGTGTAGGTTCTGTTTATCACTGAAGACGTCGGTACCGCGTGGCGCTGACAGTCTAAGAGTCAGAGTGTTACACACGTGCGCGCGCGCGTGCGCGCGTGTTGCGTCACAGCCAAAAGTATTGATTATACCTTCGAGCAGTAAAAACGTACCTTTGTCTCATTTATAGGTGAAGACGGAGAAAAAAAACGAGATGACGTAACACACCTGCAGTTAGCTAACCAAGAAGGTGGCTAAAGGTTAGTGTAAAGTTAGCTGAAATGACACCTAAAAAAGGAACGGCCGATAGTAAAACAAATCACGTGACCAAAGGAGATGTAGCTAACAGGTGAAGCTAACGGATGTAGCTAACAGGTGAAGCTAACGGATATACTGTAGCCGTCAACCACAGCAGCAGGTGAAGATTTAGTGACGTTATGATGAACGTCATCTGTCAGAGAGTGACGGTGAGAAAATGTATTATTGTTTATAATATATAAAAACAACAATTATCATTTTTGATTTTTGTTAAAATAATAATATCAGGGTTTTTTTCCTAGTATTTTGTGTAATTAGATTTTATAACGTTGACTTCTGTTCATCTGTTACTTAGTTAACTGTTGTCAATTGTCTTAACATCATTGAAATATTATATTTATATTTACATTTATTTTGTGATCATATATTGAATATGTTGTTTTTTAGTGTCAGATATTTTTTTATATTTCAGTCATTTACCCTCTATATTTTTAATTTAGATTTTGAAATATACTGTGGCTAAGTATGAGCTGCAGTTTATTTTACTGCAGTACAAACAGATTTAAAACTGACTTTAGGGAGAAATAAAAGACTGATCACCTCTGACAGTGAAACTGTGGAGGAGGAAGATTAGATTAGATTATTGGAGCTAAATGTTGATAAACAATTACAACAATCCAAATAAAAATGAATAAAATGTCATAATTCCTGTTGAGAAGTGGGACGCCAACATGGAGGATGTTTTTGTCCCATTTCTCATTGTGAGGTGGATTCTCTAAGAACGTCTTAAATGACATCGGTACGAAGACCTGAGATTCAGTTCAGGATTTGTCAGTGATCCTGGGATTATAAACAGAACATGAAATGTTTTGAAATGTTTTTGTCAAAAGGCAAAAGACCCGAAGCCCAACTAATGAGATCTTCTCCTCTGGTCAGTTGTCCTCCCTGGTCCTGGTCCTGGTCCTGGTCTCGGTCAGACATGCTCCCAGTGTGTGACCCAGCAGTGACAGCACCAATCAGGCTCGGGTGTCTGGACCCTGACAGTGTTTGTAAACCACTTGTTTCCAGCCATCAGTCTGATCAGAGGCTCCGGCTCTGAGACGGTGATTATTACGCCTGCTGATGAACCGAGATCCTGTTTCCTCCAACAGCCAATCCTCCTGTTTTCACAACCTCCCACCGCTCACCTCGGCCACTCTCCACCACAACCTCCACTAATTGAGCTGATTATTGCAAGATGTGTGTGTGATTTCTGTGTGCGCTGCAGAGTGGTTATGTGTGTGTGTGTGTGTGGAGGGGGGGTCTGTACAGGAGGGGGCACAGGGCTTTTATCCTCTAAGAGAGCTACATGCGCTGAGCTGAGAGGAGCCCAACGAGGGGCTGATGAGTAACATTCTCTGAGACGGAGAGAAATTATTAGAAGCAGAGCCGCCGTGTGTGTGCTGCTCCGAGCCTCTGGTCCAGACTCCATCCAATAATTGGTTGTTTACATCTGTCTTGTTACTCCAGAGGCCGGGACTCTTCCAGGAGAGCAGAGCAGACTGGACTGGTGTGTGTGTGGCTGCTGGACAGGTCGATGGACTGGACTGGACCAGGGACCAGGCTTCAGGGTTCAAGGTTCAAGGTTCAGGCTCAGCAGAGTGAAGGTGAGTGAAGCCAAGAGGGTGTGAACAACATAAGGTGGTAAAAGATAATGACCCCCCCCCGTGCCCTCCACCCCCGCCTCTTTCTCAACTGTAATAATTCAGGCCTGATGCACATGTGTGGTCCAGTGGGGGGGCCGAGGGGGGGGCGTCTCACCTGGACATCAGTGAGAGTCACTTTATCTCCCTCTAACACTGGTTTCCTGTATAATCATAATGAGTGAAGTTTGGAGGAGACACTGTCCTGCCGCAGAACTGGGCAGGGGGGGGGGGGGGGGCCGGGGGGGGGTGTTCGGAGGACAGAACGTCGTCTGCGTGCCGCCGCTGCACACTCTGCCCCGTGCGCCATTTGCCAAATTGTAGAGGGTAATAATACATAATTCCAGGCTGGAGTGTGTTTGCAGTCGTTGGTAGCGTTGACATAAATCAGCGCGAGACTCGTGGACCTGGACCTGGGCTTTGACGAGACACAGGTCTGAGGGGGACTTCAGCGTCGGAGGGTTAGGAAGCGTGAAATATCTGAGAGGTGCTGGAAACGCTCTCCTCTCCAAATTGTAGCTGAGCCGCTCTGTGGTGGGGTGGGGGGGGG